TTCACAAAACCCAACTCTCATGCCATTAGAAAGAGGATCATGAAAAACCTACAAAAAAATGGTTCATGAAATTTTAGTTCACACATAAAGCTAAAGTCCGCCTGCTCTAGCAAAAAATGCGCACTGTGTGTCAATACTCCAGAAGTTCAACACATGCTAATCAGAGATGTGCAGGTTAACCTTATCCTATCCTATCCTGGCCTGTCCTACAGGACAGGCCAGGATAGGATAAGGATAAAACGCTTGCAGGGTAGGGTAGGACAAGGATAAAGAAAAAAAATGAATTATTTTTGATGCGGACAAATTTTTAATTTGTGCGTTTCCAGACATCGATGAAGATGCAAAATCTGAGTGAACTCTAGGTGGAAGAGTGAACTAATGATGCAGCAGCTGTTTATTTTCGCGTATACCTAACCGCGTTAAACCTAGCGAGACCGTTTCTTTTTTTGTCCTAGCGCCGGAGTCAGTCTTAATTCTTTTTTTTGCTTCAGACACTTTCAATGCCGAATTTTTGACAGATGAAGTATTGAATTATAAAACAAAATTAAGAATAATTAATGATGCTATAAATTAAAAAGATTTATTAGTTTTTTGAGAGTACCATTTGGTCATTACGTTTTCAGCAGGCTTACCAACAGGACTAAACCCACTGTCTGAACTATGTCCATCCCATGGATCAGTTCTCCACAGCCACCAAAACATACCATCAAACCATTCTAAATTCCAAAATGTTATATAAGCAGCTTCATAGCTATTGGCTTGTTCTTCTAAGAAGACACATAATGCCCATACACTACAATCATCATATGCAAGTAATTCCATATGATCAGGATGAGCATGTGTATTATAAGCAGAAGTATATCCAATTTCAACGAAAATAATTGGTTTATTCCATTGTTTAGCCAAATTGTCAAGTAGTGGTACAAATTGTTGCCATGCAATGACTATTTCATCAACAGTGGCATTATCGTTCGATGTTTGTAAATGATAGTATGCATCAATACCTATTTTATCAATAGCGTTGAACCATTGAATAGAACATTGAATACCCATGGTACAATTCTTGTTAGAAGTAGCTTGGAAGTATAATACAGCGGCAGTAAGTGATCCACCGTATACATCTCTAATAGCTTTAAGAATGAGTTTTTGAGAAAATGATACAGATCGGAAAATTTGATTCTCGGATTTGGCTGAAAGTTTCACCAGAGATCCAGCAAGTCGTCAGTATTCTAAAAAACAGATTCCAGCTCGATC